GCGGTATGATCGATAATCGTCCTTCTCCTCCCATCCTTCCCACCCACCATGCACTTTTCTGCCTAGAGCGGCCGGGCGGCTCGTCCAAAGACATGGCGAACGGATTAACCGACAAATAATTAATCGCTAATGAGGCCATTGGTCGAACGGATTCGCCCCGCGAATCATTTACATCGTCGCGCCGATCGCTGGTCCAGCCTTCCGCTGAAATTCGAGGGTAGCACTCTTTCCTACACTTCCTCCCCCTGGGAAGAACGATGCTCGACCCTAGAATCTTCGAGCTCTTCCGGATTCTTAAATGCTAGAATCCGATTGAATGGACTGTCGTTCCAAAACTCTTTTCACAACTCTTTTGGATTCTCGACCAAATTCGGATTCCAGTATCTACGAATCATCGGAACTTCCTTAATCGGATCCCTAGGATCAATGGCGCGCGAAGCACTTGCCACCCTGTCCGAACTCGCGCTCTCCTCTCGAGGATGCCTCACCATTTGGATCCCCGGTATCCCGGCGACTCGAAGGACGGGGGTCAGGGCAGCCCGAAGCCGAAGAAGGGCGCAACCGGGCGCTCGTAGAGCAGACGCGACGGCGGAAGTGGCGGTGGCCGCTTCCTCCGCGGGGCAATCACCGTCCTCTACAAGGACCCCTTCCCGGCGAACAGCATCTCCCTGTGCTTGGTGCGTATGTGCGAGCGCAGAGTGTCGATCCTGCTGTAGGTGGCCGGGCAATAGGGGCACAGCGAGCGCTGCGCGGTGTGTATGTGGAAGTGGTGCCAACGATTGGTCACCTGCTTCCCGCAGGCGCGGCATCTCCACAACGCCGGGCTGTTAAGCGACACGGCGAACATCTCGTGATAAGAAAGGCCGACTGGCACGCTCGGCATCGAACCTGCAAAACCCAACAGCATCTACATGCCCTTCGTGCACAACCAGCGCCAGTTGTGTTTACCCGCAAAGCGCTTAGATCCTCAAGATTCTGCGAGCCTAGGAATCCACCACCGTTAGCCTCTTTAGAAATTCTTCACGGTCAGTTCTGAATCCAGGTGATCCAGTGCTCGCTGAATCTCTAAGATCCAAGACTTTAAGATCCAAAAATTTACAAAGTCCGGGATCTTCAAGACTTGACGATTCGTCTTGATTCCTGAACTCCTCGATTTGTAGGATCCTTTTGATTCTTCGATATTGAATTTTAGCATCAAATCCAAAAATTTTGATCTGCGAGACCTCGAATCTCTTGGACCCTTCGGTGCGGTAGGTGGTTGTGTGGGTTTTGTTTGGTGCAATGTTCAGGTGTCAGTGTCCTTGAGAACTCTAATGAATTTACTGACTACGGCCGGTGACGTTCTCTTGTGTAAATCCCAATATTATCAACACACACAAGTCTTAGAGAAATAAAGATAATTGTGCAAAGAACGATAGAAAATATAAATATTGCAACTAAAGCTGATCGTAAGACTAAGATATAATTTGCTTAAAGAGCGATTCAAATTTTGATTTCCAATTGTGAATTATTTTTTTGAGAAACTAAACGTTCAGATAAATCTTTAACTCTCAAGCGAATACAGTTCGAATCCACTTTTGAAGAAATTCTTTGAGCATGCGGATAACGTGGAAGAGACGTCACAAGTGCAGGTAGTGAGTCAAAACGATCGAGTGTGTCCGGTCATGTGTGAACGCATCCACACGCACGATCACCATTCATCTTCTCTTTTGCAGTCTTCACAAGCACAAATATTCCACAAGCGTCACAGGATTATATACTCACGTTCTTGATGCCGCCATGGAAATACGAAGAACATGCCGTGGAGTGAAAATAGCGCGCCTCTCCACGTCCAGAGACTCCTGAGTATTTCAGGATTCCTGGATCCTAGACTTCTAAAATATATGCATTCTCGTATTCGCGAAATCATACGCTAAAGCTCGTGGAATCGCTCGACTCATCGGATCTTCCTGGGAACTTTTCGGTTCCCGGATGCTCTCGGGATCCTCCGAGATAAACTCACGTTTCAGCGACATCGGTGGTAACGCGACGAGCATGGAGAGAAAAATACTTAACCGAACATTTGCCGATGTTATTGTAGGATTATCTGGGACAGAGCTCGTCGCCTCCAATAATCCGTGCTAGAAGACGTAGTAGCTTTATACGCTTGTGTTAAGTTCTTATCGTCATCGGCGTATTGGTGAAAGAAGTTACACACCGGTTTCATACACAGAGTGATCAAAAAATCACGACAAATATACAATAACGACATTTAAGAGATAGAATTTATATTGTTATGCAAATATATAACTTTTTGTACTAATTATGTTATAATTACGTTATTTTATATTATGCGAATAATGTTTGTAAATACTAATTCTTTTAATATTAATAATTTTTAGATATTATACTTTGTATTATACTTCATCCAGAGTTGTGCGGCTTTTTGTTCGGTAACGCAATTGTCACGAAATGTTAACAATTGAAACAATTTCCGTTAAATAATAAAACAAAATAAAAGGAGATATCAAAAAACTCATTTTTTCGCAATCTAAAAAGATTGGCAGATATTTTAAAACAGTATCATCTGCGTAGATCCATGCGATTAGAGAAGCGTCAGTTCTTCACCAGGATGCATTAAATTAACTATCGACATCACGTGATGCGCACTCCTGAGCTCCCTACGTTCCGACATGATCAGGATATTTAATTAAGACGTTGCGGTGTCGTCAAATACCAGTTTACCCCCCAAAGATACGCCGCGTATCGATTATTGAAACGGTTTACCTGCAAACAAAGCATCCAATAATCTGTACTGCGCATGAAATCTGCAGAATAATCACGTCGCAGAATGGGATTAACGACGACGTGCGTACCACTCAAAGTCTTGGAAATTACTGTGAGATACCAGCTCCTTTTTATTTTGTACATACAATATATGTATATATATTACATCTTTCAATAACCATAGTCTCATAAAATGTCTACATTTCTTAAAAACCTCTCATCGATATCTTCTTACCTTTATAATTGGCCATTAGTACAGCTAAATCGTACGTCCTAAAGCTGAATCGCGTCGCGAACGATTAACCGTAACAATCTTTAAAAAGCAAGAGAGAGATTTTACGGCTTCTTAAATAAAGATATTTCATCAAAACTCTTGCTCTTCAATCGTAAAACAAACGGCACCTTCCACAAAGGAATGATGCGAATCCTTCTGTTTCATGGAAAAGGACTCGGAATGAAAGATTACATGATCGCCTAATCGAGGGGATTGAAGGTACAAGTAGTGGAAAAGTGAAGTTAGATTATTTTTTGGTACTTAGATGTCGGTGCATACTCGCTTATGCACTACGTAATGTGCGTAACACGCTTCCTTTGGCAGCTACTTTTGGCATTTTGACGGAAGAACACGTATTTTGAGTTGCATTATCGAGATACGTTTCTATGGGACTTCGAAGCTGCGGATCTATAGATCTATATGCGTCCAACTTACTCGTGCATCTGCAGAATTTTAAATCTTTAAATGTATTGATCCATAAATGTACAGTATTTAATAAAATAAATGCACTTAGTAATGTTTTTTTGTCGAAGCTCGAGATTTAAATGACTGTTGTATCTCCTTACAAATTCTGGATATTAAGGGGATCCTAAAGCCGTCTATAATCGACTAAATTATACAATTTTTGTGTAAAAAACAAATACTTTTTTCTCTTTCACAGATTCAAAAATCCTTTTCCAGGATTAAAATATACGCATTCATATGCGTTTATGAGGTGGAGTTTATGCCGAGAACGACCAAAAATTTCGAAATTGATATATTTTTTACCATTTCTTAATGTAACATGGCGTCTCAAGCTGTCAAGTCGTGACAACATTTGCTTGATACGAAAGTTTTGCAACTTGTACTTACGAAATAGTAATCCACAAACACTTAGTTTGCACGAACAAATAACGTCGAGTTCTTAAAATTAGACTTAAGGTGCGTTCAGGGAGACGCTATTAGCGCTATTTGTGTCATTCTATCCTTGTTTTATGTCTAATAAATAACGAAGATAGAATGACAGAAGTAGCGCTAATAGCGTCTCCCCGAATGCACCTTAAGTCTAATTTTAAAAATTAGATGCTTTATTGCGACGAATTTGTTATACGAAAATTGACACGAACTGCGTGTATCATCGGTTGCGTGAGATATTGGTGTGGTAGTATAAAAAGACATGTCGATGCGCTGGAAAAACAACCTCTGGTGACTTTGTTGAAGTTCGAGCTTCGCTTTAGGATCCCCTTAAGCATCTTGATATCGAGTGCATTCTTTTTTTAATTGCTCTGCTGAAACTATTTTCGTTGTAAAAAAATTGTAATTAATGTCCGATAAAACATCATCGCTGTGTACACCAAACGCGGTAATTACCTCTGTATATTAGCTCTTTACATATTAATTTGTCAATACATACACAGAGAGTTGCGTATCAATTGTAAATTTACCTATAATTGTGCAAATAAAATTTGCCTCGTAATTAATTAATATTGAAAAAAACACTTATTCTTAATTAAATCTAATGGAAATATTTCCGCAACTAGTTTTATTTCTCAAAACCAGTTAAATCCAATTTAACAACGTTTAACAACATTTACAGATAAATACTCGGTCTTCGTCTTTATATATATTCGTTCGTCTTTTATTTATCCTGGAACGAAGATTAATCACGATTATGAAAGGGATTTACAATTTCAGTGCCACTATTTGTTCATAATAACTTTTTCTTCGTCCTTGCCTATTCGGGGATACTACATCCCCCAAGTTAATTCACGCTTGTGTGAGTCCGAGGACTCAAAAGCGCGAGATCGCAAACACAGTCGGCGCAGATTCGAAGCAAGAGTTCGAGTTCATCAGGCACCTACGAGTGTCCACAACTATCAAAGAAAAGGAAGGAGAGAGAGAGGGGGGGGAGCAGGCATAGAAAGAAAGAGAAAGAGAGAGGCACAGAGAAAAAGAGAAAGATAGAGTGAGAGGAGGGGGAGGGACAGGGAGGAGTAAAGATGGAGACGGCAAGGCGGAAAGAGGTGAAGACTAATATTTACACGGTGGAATTACACGGTTCTCGCAATTACTCGAGACGCCTGGCGTGGCCTTTAAGTAGTACTAAATGCAACATTGACTATATCGAACGCTCGTAAGGAGAGGAACGGTACAAGATTTCTGAGTGTTGCATCGCGAACGCTCTTCAAACGTTCTTCGAAAGTTCCTGACGCATCCTCGAATACGTGGACCAGCTAGCTTCTTAGATCTTCCGACGCTAAAATCCATTACCAGGATCTCGGACAGACTCGTTGCGTTAATCAGCCCTTTGATCTTCGTTCCCCTCACAAACTCTGAGATTCCATTGTACACTTCCGCTGTTTAATAAACACTAGTTTGCGCTAATGCAGCTTATCTAATGGAATAACGACGGGCAAGTTCGGGGAGAGCTCGCGAGATTGCCTCGTGCGACGAGATCGAGGAAGTCACGCCAAGAAGATGAAGAGGAGGAAGATGTTCGCGCGATCAACGGTTTTCTAGATCCGCAGCTTAAAGTACGCGGCACGGTCAAAGTATCGCGACGCGTGTGTGCGATACTATTGCGCGTGCGCGTGCGCGTGCTTCATACGCGTGTGCGTGAGGAGAGTGTCGCTGCGCGTGTACACCGCCGGGCAGAGCGGGCAGGCGTACTTCCCGGGGAAATGCACGTAATAGTGATTGCGCACGTTCGTCACGACCTTACCGCACAACGAGCACCGCCTCCTCTCGTCGCTGTTACTCTGTCTCTCAAATATCTGTGATATCCGCCAATTTTTCAACTCTGCAACAACAGAAACCACAGCGTCAGCAAAGCACCTCGAATTAGCCCGGCCTCCGCTCGCGTGTCATCGCTCTATTTCCGCCTATATTTTTTTTTCCCGTGCCTTTCTGTTTTTCTAATCTATTCTATCTCGATGTCTCTATTTTTTTTATCTCTTGTAAAACTTCCACCCTTGATGCCGAGATTGAAACTCTCACAGTCTGCCAGACTCATCGTTATTATTCCTTTCGCTTATCCGTCTCCCCTGGCGTGTGCGTGTGCGTATGTAAGGATACGTGACAACCTTTGAGAAAAATCCAATTGCGTGACCGACTAACATAGTAGATCCAAACTGCGATTTGTGGCGAGATCAAACTACGCGTTCGAGGGATACGAAATCAAAGGGACACTGAAATCGAAGACGAAGACACCAGCATGTCGGAAATTCCAAATATTCGGAAAATTTGAAAACAGAGGACTCGAATATGCTAAATAAGCTCTCTCTCTCTCTCTCTCTCTCTCTCTCTCTCTCTCTTTCTCTCTCTCTCTCTCTCTCTCTCTCTCTCTCTCTCTCTCTCTCTCTCTCAGAAATCAATGAACCTCAGCGCACACATTTAATTCTAAGATTAAAAATATCCCCTTCAAAGAGATCTAAAAAAAAGAACAATCTCTTCGTCAAATATTGTCACCGTGTTGAAAAAAATTTATTAAATCTTAACACATATTTCTTTGAACAGTACTAAGTAAACAGTTGCTTACAATAAATAAATATTTATTCAATACAAAATGATAGTTAAATCAAATTAAGGTTTTTGTACCAAATATTTATATATTTAAACAAATGATCAAATTTCTATATATTTAAAATTATATTTATTTATAAATATATGTTTAAAATAAATACAATTAATTAGTTTAATCAAAGTAATGGTTTTTATATAATCAAATATTTATATATGTTTATATTTAGTAAATATTCACTTATAATTATTCAAACAAATATTTATTAAAATTTAGTTTTTTTCAGTGCACGACGCTGTTTGCGAAAGATAATAAGAAATCGTTTAAACTCGGTCTTTGCAGGACTTGGAGAACGAAGTAAACAATCTGAATCACGATTCCCCGTCCCAGATTTGGATCCGCACGATTCTCCCGCACTATCTGGAGGGGAATCTCCTCGTCGAGAACACGTTTCGCGTAGAAAAGCGTAAATATTCCCGAGTATTCGTATCGACACGAATCCTGGGATACGTCAAGTCGAGGGAGCGATTTCGGATACCGCAAAGATCTGCGAACAATCTCTCGCAAAAGCAAGACAGCGTCGAGGAGCATATGCTCGATATGTCGTAAAACGCATCGCAATACAACAAACTCGTGCAAACATCGAACATATTGACGTGAAATCGGAATCCTGATAAGACCGCGCACACGTGACTCGGAAGTCTAAGTGATCCGACACCTGTTCGCGTCGCTTTCTTTCGATATTTCACCGCAGCGATTTAACCTATGTTCGACTGCCAAATTAAACGTCCCCTCTGAAGGATTCGAAGGCACAAATGGTTTAGGAATCCACGAGTCTTCGAACCCAACCAACCGTCAAAAGTCAGAGGATATTAAAATTTGGGGATTTAAAATCTAGGAATGCTTGGAATGAACAACTATAATTTTGTCGATATGTAAATTAATAAAATTTTATCATGTTTTAATTTTTATAAATCATGTTGATTTAATTAAAATTTTATTCGAACCAAATTTTGATTAGAACAACACATTTCTTTGATTAAAATATAACAAAATTTTGATAATTCACATATCAATCACATAAATTATAGCTGTTCGTGTCAAACACTTCTCTCAGTGCAAGATCGTCCTGCGGAAGGAAATTTCGATACTTTGGGATTTACAATATGAGTTATGCAACTATATCATGTATCTGGCCCTCCAAAATTCGTCTGAAATATATCTTCACTTTCTCATATCTCCGCTAGGTGATCACAGCTATAAAATATCGTACGAATATCTTGGAATAGCAAGTTATTATTACATATCGTACGGTGAAAACAGACCGATCGCAGAACGACGAGAATATTCGTCGCGGTAACGCACGCTAATGTGCCGCTGCATTTTTTCGCGCTAATAATAGCGTTATCGCGCGAGTTGATCGTTGAAATAATTCAGCGCGGTTTAAACGATAAGGTGTCGTCGCAGTCCTCGGTGTTGAACTGAACGTGATCCCTCAGATGCTCCGTTACAGTCGTTATAGACTACGATTGAGCAGCTGTCGTGACCGAGGCGAACACACAGGGATCAGATTATCCCGTGGAAACACGAAAATATCCCTGAAATATACGACCGCTTAATATCTAATAACATTTGACACTGATAAATGTCGCTAGTTCATCGCGAATCGAAGTTACGACTTTCCCAAGGTGTTCGACGATGCGCCGTCTCGCGCACATTTACGATTCTCCCGTCGATTCTGCAGAAATGCAAAAATAGGCATCTCGATTGTGAGGGAAAATTGAAAATTTTAGGGAAAATGGGCGAGAGCGCAGATACCGTCGGCGAATACCATGCGAACGTCGAAAAGGGAGAAAAATGATCTGGAAGAAAAAAGAAAGGTAGACGGCTCGGTTAACACACAATTATGTTTAATCAAAAAATTAGTATGAAATACATTAAATGCACATGTGATTAATTCTCCATTTTTTTTGTTTATCATCATCATTATCATCATCATTATCATCATCCGTATTATCTACACTAGAATTAAAGATGTATATAATAATGCAATTGTAAACATAAGAGACTTTATGTTAGAATAATCATAAGGATAAGAATATAATTGTAATAACAATAAGAGAAGTAGTAATAGTAAGAATAATTTCTCGTGATAAAACCGGTTGACGCCTTAACTATTTCATTCCATCGATCGGCATGGTTAGAAGTTCCTCTGCAAATTTTTTTTCTTTTTCTCCTTTTCTTTGCTAAATACATCTATTGTACGTTTCGAGCCAAACGATCGTTTGTATTTGTAATAGAAAGATATCAACTCTCAAGCAACCTGCCGTTTCACGAAATCGATGATCGCCGTGGTCGCCGTCGTTTCTGGTCCAGAAAGGTATAAAGGATAATAACGACGGCGACGACGACGATCGTACGGACGCGATCGAACTTAATTCGCAAAAACGCGAACGTATTGAAGTCCGGGCGGGTCTTGCTCCCTTTTTGTCCGAATGTGTTTAATCGCGCGATCGCATTCATTACTCGTAGTGTCCCCGTAAGTAACTGCACTGTCGGAAAAAAAAGCTTTCGAACCTTTCGGAAAACGAATGAAAACGGTGAAAGGAAAGAAAGACCGGAAACAAGGAGTCGAAATTAAAGTTTAATAAAAAAAAAAAGGAGATAAAAGGAAAAGTTGGAAGGGGAGAGGCGCAGAATAACAGGAAGAAAAGGTACAAACGACTGACACACACACGTTGATGAAAGGTTTGCAATCACATTGATTACGAATTACTTCGATCAAATCGGCTTCAATCGATCGTCGAATTTTTTTTTCTTATTTTTTTTAAATTAAAGTTCGCCGAGAACGAACTTACGGACGTTTGAGCTTTCGGTATAATGTTTGAGCGCGACGGGACGGTGATGCAAATTTTTCTTCGACGTGTGTCGAAAGAGGAGCGAGACGTTTTGAGGAAAAAAAGGAAGGACATTGATCGCGATTTAATTCGTCCTTTTTCTCGCACGTACGCACGCATGCATTCTTTCTCTCTCCTGATCTGTCCATCCCTCTTTCGCTTCCTCTATTACACTTTCTCTCTCTCTCTCTCTCCCTCTCTCTCGCTCGTACGCGCTCGCACGTTATCATACAACGCGGAAAATGCAACGAATAACGATTTTCTTCCTCTCGCCGTTCGTTCATAAATGTCGAATCTAATTTTAGAGGCTCGTTTTCTATATTTACACGCGCCGTGTAAAATCACAACTTTCAGTCTGACAGTCGCACCGATTCACATTTTATTTTATTTTAAATTTTTTATTTTTTTTAAATGATGAGTAGAACACGCTCAGTATTCTCGCGGGGAACACTGATCCCCTATATTGTTACGATTTACAATTATTATATTTTATTCATCCCCCGAGAAAAATAACAAAATGTATATATATATATTTATATATATATGAAGATAGATATATATACATATATCGTGTGTGTGTATATACATATATATCCATAGTTAATCCGTAATTTGTATATATTATTATATAAAGAGATATTAATAATAGTACTTTTTTTTTATTTAGTTTAATAATGTACAAAGGGGGGCAGGGGGCTGTCGCGCGGTGGTGAAAAAAACAACAAAACGCCTAAACGCGCCCCTTATCAGCTAAGCCTAATCCCTAGGTAACGCCTATTTAACTACACTCATAATGTTCACTTGCACAGCCATAGTTTCTTTCATCGCTTTTCTCGCTCACTCAATCCTCAATCGTTTAGAACGTCTCCTCGATCGCCCGGTTCCACGCGATTCCGGGGTTCGTTCACGCTTTGCTGCCAGCTGGGAACAGCATCGAGTACGCTCGACAGCCAAACCGAAAAAACGTGGCTGCTAGACATGTTCAAACTCGCATTATCCAAATTATTCCAAATAAAACTCTGAATCGAAAGATCATGAGGTGCAAGTGTGTTGGAAAGAAAGACGCAAAGAGATATATAACAATCGAAAAAGAATTAAAACTTTCGAGAATCCGGCCGACTCCGAGGATTTCTCTGTCTAAAAGAGGACCAATTTGGAGAAGTTAAATTTTTTTAAGTACTCAATATCTATGCTGTACAACCCGATCCCACCTCCCTCGGTTAACCCACTCCAAATGTATTCAAATGTTACCGCGTCCGCATAATCGACGCCGTCGAGTCATCGCATTCCGCGGCGCGAAATTCGATCGTCACTCGACCATCCCGCCCGGAATCGGATGAACTGGCCGGGCATAACGAGGATTTCAGAAAATTCAGAAGAAAC